ACCAGTACTTGAGTTTAGTTAGCCTAGTTTTATGAGCATGCTTAAGTGATATAAGTTTTAGAAAAATCACCTAGACTTAAGTTATATTTAATTAGCCGGAATATACATAAGTAATAAGTATACCCAACCGTCTAAAATACTTAGTGGGAGGAAAAAGATATATGAGATACATCGTTTTCCTTTTACGCTCTCTGGAAAATTCACACCGTGAGATTCATGCTCGGCCTTATGTCGCCCTAGGAGCGTTCTCCATGCGGAAGGTATTTGCATGAGTCAATAACAAGGTGAATAGAGTAAGTATTTATAGTAAGTGGGAGAAGGAAGTATATCAACACCTCCTATGGTCTCCACCACTAGGTTGCACCGTGAGATTCCCATGTTCCACCTGCATGTTGCCCTAGAGCAACTACCCATTCGAAGGGTCGTAACATGGGAGTCGAAACAATGCAAACTCCAGAAATGGATAGGATTTCTTAGGTCCGTTCCCAACTTTGGTTTTTTCATTTGATAGCATTGTTGGAACCGATCTCTGAGGTCTGAAAATGGCGGGTCACACTTACGAAGAATTACTAAGAGTTAGTATATTTTTGACCAAAATAGCGATAACTAAAACACTATAGAAACAAGAGTTATTCTAGGATTAGTGTTTAAGTCAAGAATTTCTTGGTTTAGTGAAGGAGTGATTGACTGCCCCTCAGTAGCAGTTGCTCTAACTCACTAAAGTATCGTTGCAAATTAATAATTATGGGTACATTATTACATTTTCTAAACATGATTGGATTAAACAGGATTAATTCGAATCACTAATAGAATTTTCTTTATATCACAGCATGACAAACTCAATAGTACAATTACTCGCTTATGAGAAATTAAACGGCGACGATTACACTAGTTGGAAATCAAACCTAAACACAATACTTGTAATTGATGATTTAAGGTTTGTTTTAACTGAGGAATGTCCTCCAAACCCTAGCTCAAATGCAAACCGAACAGTTCGGGATGCGTATGACAGATGGATAAAGGCAAATGACAAAGCCTGAGTGTACATTCTTGCTAGCATATTTGATGTTTAGGCTAAGGAACACAATGTTTTGGGTACTGCTAAAGAGATTATGGAATCTCTAAAAGGGATGTTTGAACAACTGTCCTTCTCCCTTAGACATGAAGCCATAAAATACATTTACAACTGCCGTATGAAAGAAGGGAACTCAGTTAGAGAACGTATGTGGTCAAGGATATAATTTCAACATCTAATGTTACAAATGTAAAAAATATGACCACTATGCAAATAATTGTCTACAAGAGCAATAACTATTTGAGGAATAGTGGGAATTAACAGAGAGCCTCACTCGACATGAACCTGAATCGAGTCCAATAGGAGACAGTGAATTTACGACACACGATTGAGATACTCACTCGTGATAAAGCTGAAATGGAGGAAGCAAAAATGGAAGTTGAAAATGTCGTTGTGGACTTGTGAAGGGAATTGAGTAAACTGAACGAAGCTATGACGTCTGAGTTGATCGTGGCTGAGAACATGAGAAATAAGGAGCTGGTGTCTCAAATGGGCTGTTCGAGAAGCTCCAAATGAAGTCTCATCAGAAATGGACAAGCTCAGTTTGCCGCTCGAGGACAAGGAGAGGAAATTGAAGAAACCACGACTGAGCTCAAGAAAACGAAAACAACGCAAGTGGAATCATGAATATAGCATTTAAGTTTATGGGGGAGTTTTGTTCGAGAAGCTCCAAATGAAGTCTCATCAGAAATGGACAAGCTCAGTTTGCCGCTCGAGGACAAAGAGAGGAAATTGAAGAAATCACGACTGAGCTCAAGAAAACGAAAACGGCGCAGGTGAAATCATGAATATAGCATTTAAGTTTATGGGGGAGTTTTGTTGGAATAAACTTAAATGAAAAGGGTGGTTTTATTTTTGTTAATTTTAGTGAGTTCTAAAATTGAGTCGTTGAAGGAAAAGGTCAATAACTATTTGAGGAATAGGGGGAATTATTTCAGGAATAATAAGTTAGAGAATGATGGCATAATGATAGCTATTTTTAGTCCTTAGAAAACCTATAAATTAGTTTGTTTTCCATTGTAAAAAACAGAGCAAGTAGAGCAATCAAATAGAGAAATTGTCTCATTTAAGTACAGTGTAATAGAAAAAAGGTTTTTCAGAATTCTTTGTCTTCTTGTCTCTCCCCTCTTGACATCTCCTTCACAGTTTCGTGAGTGTTATTTTAACAAATTAGTATCAAAGCGAACTTTTATTTCAACATACTTCGACGACGTTCATGGAGTATTGCGAGGAGCAAGGCATAAGGCAATTTCTAACCACACCGTACACCCCTCAATAAAATGGTGTGGTCGAGAGAAAGAACCGAACCATTCATGACATGGTTTGATCAATGCTCAATAGCAAAAAGATGTCAAAGGAATTTTGGGCAGAAGCTGTGCAATGTGCCATCTACATACAAAATCGATGTCCACATGCGAAGTTAGATGATTAAACAAGTGCACCAATTCGACAGAAGTCAATATCGAAGTTGGAGAATCATCAGTCGCTGCACCAACAAGTGCACCAACAGACTTAGAAATTTCTGATGATTAAGATGAACCACGACAACCCAAAATGCGAAGTATGCGAGATTTATATGACTCAACAGATGAGGTACACCTTATAGGTCTTCTGGCAGATGCTGAAAATATTAGCTTTAAAGAGGCGGTGCAAGACATGAAGTGGCAAACTGCCATGGATGAAGAGATTAAAGAGATCCATCACAACAACACATGGGAATTGACAGAATTACCGGAAAGAAGTCAGCCCATAGGTGTGAAGTGGGTATTCATGAAAAAGATGAATGCTCAAGGCGAGATTGAGCGGTACAAAGCGCGACTTGTTGTGAATGGATACAAGAAAAAGGCAGGAATCGACTATGACGAAGTGTTTGCTCCCGTTGCTAGAATGGAGACAATCCGATTGATCATTTCTCAAGCAGCCCAATTCAAATGGCCGATTTTTCAAATGAATGTCAAATCATCATTCTTGAATGGTGTGCTTGAAGAAGAAGTATATCTCGAACAATCTCCCGGGTACGTGAAAGTTGGAGAAGAGAAGAAGGTACTAAAACTAAAGAAGGTGCTTTATTGGTTGAAACAAGCACCGAGAGCATGAAATACTCGTATCGGCACATACTTCAAGGAGAATGGGTACAAGCAATGTCCCTACGAAAATTTACTTTATACAAAGAAGAATGGAGGTAATGTGATACTTGTCGCTCTTTATGTCGATGACCTCATTTTCTTAGGCAACATTGATGAAATGATAAAAGAATTCAAAAGAACAATGATGCAAGAATTTGAGATGACAGACTTAGGCCTGTTAAAATTTTTCCTTGGTTTGGAGGTTAAACAAGGAGAAACAGGTATTTTTATATCATAGAAGAAATATGCAAAACAAATTTTGAAGAAGTACAAGATCGAGAATTGTAACCCGGTATCCACACCAATGGAACCAGGTGAAAAGCTCTCAAAGTATGATGGAGGAGAACGAGTAGATACAAGTAGGTATCGAAGCCTGGTGGTGGGAAGCCTTCGCTATCTTACATGTACAAGATCAGATCTTTTACTAAGTGTCGGCATAGTAAGTCGGTTCATGGAGGAGCCAATTTATTCACATTGGAAGGCGTTGAAGCAAATCCTACGATACGTTCAAGGAACATTGTCACTTAGGTTATTTTACTCAAGAACAGAAGATTACAAGTTAGTTGGTTACTCCGATAGTGATTGGTGCGGAGACATAGACGATCGAAAAAGTACATCAGGATATGTATTCTTCATGGGCAACACAACATTTACTTGGCTTTCAAAGAAACAATTGATCATGACACTCTCGACGTGTGAAGCTGAGTATGTAGCAGCATCTAGGTGTGTATGCCACACAATTTGGCTTAGAAATTTGTTGAGTGAGATGGAGCTAAAGCAACGAGGTGCAACCATAATACAAGTTGACAACAAATCAGCAATTGAGTTGGCCAAGAACCCATGAACCATGAAAGAAGCAAACACATTGATGTTCGATTTCATTTTATTCGAGATCATGTGAAGTAAGAAAATGCAGAATTGCTGCATGTGGCAAGTCAAGATCAAGTTGCGGACATCTTTACAAAACCACTTCCGAAAGTACTTTTCGACAAATACAAGAAGATGATTGGAATGACAGATGGAAGGAGCATTTAAGTTTATGAGGGAGTTTTGTTGGAAAATAAACTTGAATGAATTTTTTTTTTTTTTTTTTAATTCATAATTATCTCAGGAAAGGAGAACTAATGGGTGAGAAATTATTGAAAGGAGAGCAAATGGGTGAGAAAATTATGGGTAGTTAAAGCCAATTTTGGCCTTACGAAAGCTTATATAAGGGCTTCACTTATCGATGTAATAGCATAGAAGAAAGAGTGAAAATAGAGAGAGCAAGAGAGAGCAAATTCAATTTTTTGGATAGTGTGTAACAGAGAATTCTTTTGAGAATTTCTTTGTCTCCTTTCTCTCCCCTTTCGACACCCCCTTTAAAGTTTCGTGAGAGTTATTTAACGAGTTAGATTCAGAGCGATCATTTATTTTCTCTCAAGTTGGTATTGGAGCGGCTTTATTTTTCTACAAATTGGTATCAGAGCAATTTAATTTCAACAGGATCGTGGTAGGAAGCCTTCGCTATCTTACATGCACAAGGCCAGATCTTTCATTAAGTGTCGGCATTATAGGCCGGTTCATGGAGGAGCCAATTTATTCACATTGGAAGGCGTTAGAGATATATTTGTTAGATTATATCTCATACGTTTAAATCTTTGAAAGCTTTATTTAGTAAATTGAAACCATATATATGCCACATTAGACAGTGCTCTCAAAATGTACTTTTCTTCGTTCTCTCTATTCTATCTCGTTGTACATAGCTGAAGTCATCAATAATAAAACCTTTAGCCAATATTCCTCCTATTATTTTCTCTCTCCTGTCCTTTGTGTTCATCTTGATCGAGTGTGTGCGTTTTTTAGCGATCCTAACAATTGGTATCAGAGCTAACAACTGGTATCGATCCTAACAGATTATGATAATGCAAAGTTGGCATGTTATGTTTGATATGTTTGTATGTTAAGAAGAGGGGTACATAATATATGCAAGTGGAATTTCGTTGACTTAGTTCGTTATGTGTTGCATATAGATAATGACACCTAGAGGTCGAGGAAGAGGGCATAGAGCAGACCCCCTGCTAGGGGTAGCAGCTAAGGTAGGAGAAGTCCTGTTCGTAAGGGATTGATAAATCGACTTGATGAAGCGGCGTCATCCCTTACGCTTCAACCTGCACAAGATCCCACAACTCCTTTAATGTGGGAATCATTACAAGTGGTTATGAAAATAGTTGTAACAACTTAATAGGCTAATGCTTCGTCATCAACTAGAGAGGCAAGATAGCTATAAGACTTCAAGAGAGATGACCCTCGTATCTTTAACGGGACTGGAGAGGATTCAATAGAAGCACAAGTATGATTGACATCGATAGAGGACAATGTTCAGGTTGATGAATTGTCCTGATGATCAGAAGGTCCCATGTGCAATATTCATGTTGCGGGACGATGCAGAGTTATGGTGGGAGGTCACTCGCGAGATTCTTAGTCTTGAGGGAAGTGTGATGTTGTGACTGGAATTTAAGGATGCCTTTTGAATAGAATATTACTCACAACTCAACTCCGCAAGAAACAAGAGTTCACACAATTGATTCAAAGAGGATATTCAATCACTACCCATGCAAGGGAATTAATGAGAATCAAACAATTCGCTCTAGAGTTGGTTGACACTAAACATAAATTAGCGCAGAAGTTCATCCTAGGTCTGGACAAAAAGATCCATCGTACAATCGAGGCAATAGCGCATACTACTTACATTGCCACCTTGAGAGAAACTAAGGATATGGAAGGAAATATAAGTGGAGAACCTTGAGAACTCCCTCCATCGACAGTCGTTGCGAGACAAAAGTAACATTATGATTAGATTGATCCTCACGATCAACCTCCTATGTGATCACAATGACTATTTGATAGGTGTCGCAAGGATTCTAGGCGTGGTCAATGACTAGACCAATATGAGATTAGGGAAGATGAGAGGCCTAAATGCAATGAATGTGATAAAATCATGAGGGGTCTATGTTTAGCTCGCACTAGAACATGTTATCGGCGTGGACAAGAAGACTGCCTCATGACAATGAAGATGTATTCCTTACTTATAAACTCATGATCATTCCATAAATAGCTAATGTAGCACTAGAACATTTGAGAATTCTATTGACATGCCTAAGTTAAGGGCATGACTCTAATACTATGTTAGGAATCACGATTCTCCACAATGGTATGATATTATCCACTTTAAGCATAAGCTCTCATGGCTTTGCTTTGGGCTTCCACAAAAGATCTCATACTAATGAAGATGTATTCCTTACTTATAAACCAATGATCATTCACTACATTAGCCAATGTAGAGTCCCTCCCAACAATCCTCAACAATACATAATATTGCATGGCGCTAGCAGAACGGAAGGAACTCGAGGCATAACTACAAGAGTTACTTGATAAAGGATCTATCCATCCTAGTGTATCTCTATGGGGTGAACCAGTGTTGTTTGTTAAGAAGAAGAATGATGCAATGCGCTTGTGCATTGATTATAGGAAGGTAAATAAGAAGACAATGAAGAACAAGTATCCACTTCCACGTATAAAGGATTTATTTGATCAGCTTAGAGAAGCAATGTTGTTCTCCAAGATAGACATAAGGTTAGGTTACCATCATATCAAGATTAAAATGGAAGATGTGTCGAAGACAGCCTTCAGAACAAGATATGACTATTATGAGTTCGTGGTTATGTCATTTAGACTTACTAATACCCCTATTGTGTTCATGGAGTTGATGAATCTAGTATTCAAGGAATGTTTGAATACTTTTGTCATAGTGTTCATAAATGAAATCATAGTGTTCATAAATGAAATTCTTGTATACTCTAAGATAGACAAGGAACATCAGTTGTATTTTCAAAAAGCCTTGACAATTCTGAGAGGGAACAAGTTGTACGCCAAATTCTCTAAATGTGTATTTTGGTTACAGGAGATCTCATTTTTAAGATATGTTGTGTCAGAGAATGGTGTCTCAATAGACCATGCCAAGGTGGAAGTAGCACTAAGTGGGCTCGTCCGACTAGTTACTGAGGTACGTAGTTTTTTTGGTCTAGCAGGCTTTACCGATGCTTCGTACAAGATTTTACCAAGATAGCCTTACCGCTTATGCAACTGACCTAGAAGGGTTTGCCATTTGTATGGATTGAGGATTGCTAGGCAAGTTTTTAGGAATCAAAGGATAGGCACGATGTTCAACGACACAAAAAATTATGTAACTTACAGTGATGCTTCCAAGAAGGGTCTAAGGTGTGTGTTGATGCAGCACGAGAAGTTCATTGCATATGCATCCAGACAATTGAAGCATTATGAACAGAACTACGCCACATTTGACTTGGAGCTAGCAGCAATAGTCTTTGCGTTAAACATTTGGTGACACTACTTGTATGGGGAGAAAGCTCAAATTTACACTAACCACAAAAGTTTGAAGTATTTCTTCACTCGGAAGGAACTGAAAGACTATGACATCGACATCAAGTACAACCACGGGAAGGCCAACGTGGTCGCCAATGTCGTAAATAGGAAAATAGCCCATTCATCGGCTTTAATCACTAGAGAGCCCAGAGTAGAGACAAAGTTCAAACAAGCTGGGATAGTGGTGACCGTGGAAGGATTAAAGCATAACTAGCCAAACCGATAGTCCAACCCAAGTTTCAACAACGAATTTGAGCTATGAGATCCCTAGTTGGTTAAAATATTTAATGACACAGCGGGACCAATGGATGACTTCTCCAAATCATTTGATGGTGGATTGCTATGCCTAGGACGTTTATGCGTGCTTACAGTGGAAGAATTGAAAAAAGAAATCCTAGTCAAGGCATATAATTCTTCATTCCCCATACACCCTGGTAGTACCAAGATGTATCAAGATTTAAAACAATATTTTTGGTGACGGAATATGAAGAAGAGCATAGTGAAATTTGTAAGTAAATGTCTAGCGTACCAATAGGTCAAGGCACCTAGACAGAGAATGGTGAGATTTTTGTTACCCTTTAGTGTGCCAGAATGGAAATGGGAGGATATAACTATGGATTTCATAGTGGGATTTCCAAGGATGTTGAAGGGTTACACAATCATATGGGTAATTGTGGGCAGATTAATTAAGTCAACACATTTTATTCCGGGTAAAGCCACCTACATAGTCATAGTGGATAAGTGTACATGGCTATACATGAAGGAAATTGTTAGGTTGCATGGAGTCCTCGTGTCATCTGTATCAGATCGAGACCCACGCTTTACCTCAACATTTTGGCGTGGTCTTCAAAAGGCATTAGGTACTCACCTTGATTTCAATATGCCTTTTCATTCACAAATAGACAGCCAAACGAAACATTTAAACTATATCCTGAAGATATGTTACGTGCAGGTATTAGACTTCGCAGATAGTTGGAACTCGAAGTTACACCTCATGCTACAACAATATTTTTCAAGCAACTATTGACATGACACCATATGAGACATTATATGAAAAACAGTGCAGGTCCCTATTGTGTTAGGATGAAGTAGGGGAACGAGAATTGATGGGTCTCAAATTAGTTTAAGTTACCAATGAGACGGTGCAAAATATCAGGGGTGAGAATGTGTCCTGTTTAAAGTAGTCAGAAGAGATGCAGATGTAAGGAATATGAGCTTAGAATTTGAGGTGGGCGACCCTGGTGTTCTTTAAATTGGCTCCGATAAAAGGTTTTCTAAGGTTTCGACATAAGAGCAAGTTGAGCCCACACTTCATTAGACCCTTCGAGATCTTAGATCGGGTTAGACCCATGACGTACAAGTTAGTCCTACCATCATCCCTCTTAACAGTACACAACGTGTTTTATGTGTCCATACTTTGTAAGTATATGACTGATCCCATGCATGTGGTAGATTATGAGTCCCTGGAGGTAGCGGAAGATTTAAGTTACAAAGAAATACCAGTGAAGGTCTTAATACGTGAGGTAAAAACTATACGCATTAGGGAGATCGCTTATGTCAAAGTGTTGTGGAGAAACCATTAAGGGAAGCTACATGAGAATGAGATGATGAAATGAGAGAGAAATATCGAATGTTGTTCTAGGATTTAGATACTTGAGGACAAAAGTTTGTTTTAGGGGTATAATGTAACAACTGTTATGAATTAAAAAAATTCGAATTGATGTTCGATGAGCCGTCAATTTTTTATATTCAATTGCTCACGTACTCTACAAAACCTCGCCACACTTGTTCTCAAACCATCCAAAAGCTTTTACACTTTGATATTCAACGTTTACACATTGGAAATACAGAATTCGAAGGTACAAGATATTCGGTAATCTATTAGAAATTTTTCTCTCTATGAGCATATCAGTGACGATAACACGATGGGGGCTTACGGTGATGCTGTGTGAACGAAGGGTAAGCGGGTGGTGGCTGAACATGAGGTCGTCAAAGTACAAATCTGAAAAGAGAGGAAAAGAACTTCGCAATGATTCTAGATATTCGGGTTGAGACGACGAAGTCCATGGGTCGAGGTTTGAACCAGAAGTTTATAATGACGACCCAATACTGATTAAACCAAATTGGCCCACTAATTCATTCCGTGGAAGAGAGGGAATCAGCCTAGCTTGAATGTGATCTGCGACGCCCATAAATCGACTCAAAGTTCGCATCTTGACCAGAGCAATGAATCGCACTCCATAGTCACGCACGTGCCAGGTGCGTGTACCATTCCCAATCGCGACTCATCTTTGCTCGTCCATTGGCGCACTCCTGGGCTTGGCTCGGGTGCGGCTCAGCGACTAAACCCTAAACCATAAACTTTAAAATAGCTTATTCAGCTTAATATACAATTTTTAGATCATTTCCCATGTTCTCGACCTTTCTTAAGCTATTTTTGGCCTTTTTAAGGGCATTTCATGTCAATAAAACTCCTATTTACTCAATTTTATATATTTTTAGGAAATATATTTGGAGTAGTTACTACATTTAGTCAAACTTAATTTAATAATACGTCCTAAGAAGGTGATATGAGTATGTATTGGAGTTGGAAGAATTGTATGATGTATGATGATGCATGCTCCATAATGTGATGCTATGTTTATGTGTGCTATGTAATGACGTATGATATCATGTTATGTATGTATGTGATATTCATTATGTCATGATATGAATGAAATGAAACATTGTGTATGTCATGCTACATTTTGTCATGTAAAGCTATGGATGGATCATGTGATGCTATAAGATGAAAGGCATGATGATTACTATGTATACATGACGCATATATATAATATATAATGTATGAAAGGAAGAAGGAAATGAATTTGATATTATGCTATGATGTTAAACCATGGGGACCACATGAATTTATGTATGTCTTATGCATCAGGATTCTTCTCTGTTATGTTATATTAGTACGGACACATACCTTTAATATTATGTTCGCCATGATATCATGTGAGCCCTTCCTTTGTGGCATCTACAACAGGTTAGCGCATTGAGCCAGACCAAGCCAAGACCAGTGGTACATATACAAGCCCGTTTGGTGGGTCCATGTGCGTATGTGGGGAAATACCACATATCCAACCATGCCCTAAATTGGAAAGAGCTCAAAGTTATGCTATGTTGTTTTAAATGATAGACTCCATCATGTATGTGTGTGTTTGCATTACCCAAAACAAACAATGGAACTACCTAGGTGTATTTCTTAAAATACCCAAAGTATGTGCTATCTTTATTTTTAAGGTAAATGTAAAGTGTTGTTGCATGGATAAGGATGGAGGCTGGAATGGCAATAGAAGTTAAGATAGGACAGTACTATGAATTGTTTTCAATTAGTAGTTTTATAGGCGCTTTTTCATTTTCGTTTTCGTACTGAAATAGGTTTTATTTTAACGATATTATTTCTATTTCTTGTTTTAAGTTAATATTTTAAATTGATAAAAATACTTTCAAATTTTATATTTTATCTCAAGAATAATTCAACTTTAAAAAAAATATTAAAAAAAAACAGTATTTTCAAATGTGTTTTAAATAAAAATTACTAATACTTTATTTTAAAAGCTTAAAAAAATATGTTAGAACTTTTAAATTTTCATTAATATTCTGAAACATTTTTAAAAATTTAAAAAGAGTTAAAAATATTCTTATTATTATCATATTGACGAACTAGTCACATTTCAAATATACCAAAGAATATTAAAAAAAAAAAAAAAAAAGCATTAATATCCTTAAAAAAATTTTACCGTTACGATGTGAACACAAATCATTTATCTACACTCTAAATAGTCATCGTCCAAAGAATATTAAAAAAAAAGGATTAATATCCTTAAATTTTTACCGTTACTACATAGACACAAATCATTTATCTACATTCTAAATAGTCATTGTTGGACGATGAAAGTCTCACATCGGAATCATGGGTTTATAATCCAGAAATACTATCTCTATTGGTACGAGATCTTTTGGAGAAGTCTAAAGCAAAGTCATGAGAGCTTGACAATATACATACCATTGTGGAAAGTTGTGTCCATCTAACATGATATCAGAGTTATGCTCTAAACTTAGTCATGCCAATAGATTGCAAAAGAAAAGGAAGACTCCACAAGAAAAAGGAATCGACCCTCGATTATACTATCTTCATTGATATGAGGTCTTTTAAGCCATCAGAATTTATGCTCAAACGGGACAATATCATACTATTATGGAGAGTTGTGTTTTTTTAACAGACATTTTCTTTAAACTTATCTTGAGTGAGATGAAAACCAACTCAAGTCTGAAAAATTTAAGGTATTTTGGAAACAACTATTCCATTCAAAACCAATTATTTTTTAATTTTAAAAACTAATTAAAGGGTATTTTTATTAATTTAGTCTAAAAAATCTACCGTCCATTTTATCTATCTAACCATGCATAATAGATGAACTTAATTAATTCTAAAGCAATTGACTTTATTAAAAAAAAAAAGTAAATATAAAAGAAGGAAGAAACAGTAAGTATCAACATTGTTCGATATGTTGGTTAGATATCAATTTTGGCCAAAAGCCAAACCAAATCATCCTCTCATGGATGAACTAAAAAAGTTAGCTTTGTTTTGCATCACTCTTTATTCTACATATTTTGTTTTAAAAAAAATCGATAATTTCTACCTAAACCACCCACGAATATTAAATAGATTAATATGAATCACGTGCATCAAATTTGTATCGTTGCGTATCAAATTGACCCATAGGAACTCAATTGGGCATCCCATGTTGTTGTATAGCCATAAGAGGTAATATTAGCCTTTGATAAGAACTTTGTTGTCTCATTCTCAATGAGGGAACCTATTCCTTTAGCATTAATGATTGATGAGGAAAATACAAAATTTTATAACTTAAAATGGGAAAATGGGTTAGGGAAAAAACAAAACAATTTAATATTATACTCATAAACCTAACCAAAGATTTTAATATTTAAAAAGATATCTTCCTTATGATTTAAGTTCATTGTTTACAAAAGTGGAGAGTTTTAGGTGCTTATTTGGGTGACCCATTAGGGTTTCCAAAGGGCACTCTTCAATAATCATCCTTTCAAGCTATCCTTAAGCTACCACAATATGTTTAGGTTTGCTTTTTTGGAGGATGAACTCATGAACTCAACCTCTTTGATTTCTATGTATATACAAAAGGGTATGATTAAAATATGTTTAAATCTTTTTAATACCGGTGAATGAGGCTTGAGTGAGTTATCCAACAAACGAAAAAGAGTTAATAGGTATAGTCTTTGTTGTTTGAGAATTTCAGGGCTTGGATTATGCCCCTTTACAAATCTAACGTATTGTTTTTGTGCATTATTGTGATATGTTTGTGAGATTCCCACGTTGGTTGAGGAGGAGAACGAAACATCTTTTATAAAGGTGTAGAAATCTTTCTTAACATATGCGTTTTAAAGTCTTGAGGGAAAATCCGAAAGGGAAAGCCCAAAGCCCAAAAAAAGACAATATCTAATAGGAGTGTTTGTCTAAACAGACTAGCTTATCTAACAAACAAACGAAATTTATAGTATTTTGATGCAAATATATGGATATATTTTTTAATTGAAAAATCAGTAATTACAAATACTATTTTTGAAACTTATTGAAAGTATTGCGACTAAAACTGGACATTTGTACATAAACGACAATGGAGAAACTCAAATCACACCGGACAGAGAACAAAATGATATTTTAATCAATTTCAAAATATTAACTTGAGTGTCATTTGTAACATTTTGTTAGAGATAAATAAATCTAATACGAATGTTTTATGGACTAATGTATGCTTACATCTGGTAAAAGAAAACATAATCAAAGTCTTTAATGCTCGTATGAAGTCTAACATATGGACCATTCTGAAATTTAGAGAATTGAATGTGAAATTGATGTTATGAATTCATATAGGTTGACTTGGATACAAAGAACAAAATCGAACTTTCATTAAGAATAAATAGGACACCAGCCTAAGTTAATCAGGTAAGTGGCCTTACTATCGGCATGATTATATTTGATGCTGACACGTCCCCTTTGATTCTACACGTGTCATAAATTTGATATGTGTGAATTATTTATGAATCGATATGACTATGATATGTTATGCATGTGTTATGATATGTGAATGATATGATAACTCTTACCTTATGATGTTTTCAATGATATGTATGAGGTAGGATACGAGAGGGATGCGATGAATGTAATGTAATGAATGATATGACTTAGATATGATTGACATAGTGATATGGTTAGGTTATGTATAGAAAAAGATATGATTATGATAGATTGATAGAATAATATAGTTAGGATACGTTCCTGTAACGGTATGTCTAGGATACGTTCATGAAATGATATGATTAAGATGCTTTCCTGTAACGGTATGACTAAGATACGTTCATGAAACAATATGGTTAGGATGCGTTCTTGTAACGGTAAGACTAGGATACGTTCATGAAATGATATGATTAAGATGCTTTCCTGTAACGGTATGACTAAGATACGTTCATGAAACAATATGGTTAGGATGCGTTCTTGTAACGGTAAGACTAGGATACGTTCATGAAATGATATGATTAAGATGCTTTCCTGTAACGGTATGACTAAGATACGTTCATGAAACAATATGGTTAGGATGCGTTCTTGTAACGGTAAGACTAGGATACGTTCATGAAATGATATGATTAAGATGCTTTCCTGTAACGGTATGACTAAGATACGTTCATGAAACAATATGGTTAGGATGCGTTCTTGTAACGGTAAGACTAGGATATGTTCATGAAATGATATGATATGATTTAGGATATGTTGGGATATGATATGACGAAGATATGTTCATGAAATGATACAACTCTAAGATGCATATGGATGATAAGACTATGACACGTTTAGGAAACAATATGGCTAAGATATGCATATGGAAACGATATGACTAAGGTATGTTCGTGAAATGATACGACTATGAGATGTATAAGGACGATAAGAATATGACAAGTCTAGGAAACGATATGGCTAGGACATGCATATGGAAACGGTGTGATTACAAAGTTTTTACGTAATGATATGATTATGATACGACATGAAAATGACAGATATATATATATATGTTATGTTATGATATGATATGAAAATGATATGACATATGTTATGGTATGAGATATGAGATAAATTGACATGTTTATGATACGATGTATTGTGATGTGATATGTTATGGTATGATATGTATATGATGAAAATTCTTATGCCTGGAAGCATGAAATATTATGATATGACATATTTATGTAATTTGAATGATATGATATGATTGACATGCAAAACGACGAACTAGAATGAAATACAACCTCGACGTATCCATAAAAGATATGATACACGATATGATATGGTACGAAATGCTAGCGGGGTTGTATTAAAAAACTAATGAGAATGGAAAAATGTTGGAACCTCATGCATTATTATGTGCTCATGCATTGGGGGTACCCCTATTCCTTCACGATGGTACAAATACAGGTGAACGATCATTATGTTTGACATAATGCTTCCGTGGCGAACGATACTCCTAACGAGTGTCCGACATCAAGAGCTACCAGAGAATGCTTATCCAACAAGAAAAGGGGGTCCAGGAGGTGTGTGAACCAATGGGTGGGTTCATACTCGCTTGTGTGGGCCGTGTGTAGGAAATTAATTACATATCCAAGTTGCCCATTGGGATAGCCGCCGTAGGAAAATAGATTATTATGATAGATCTTGTCATTGTATTCACATGTTCTTGTATTTAACCCCAATAGTGGGGTCACTTACTAAGTATTTGTTTAAATATTCAAGTTACGTGTTACTTCTATTTCAGGTTAAGGAAAAATAATCCAGTACGGCTGATGACGACATCGCAACTTGAGACCATGGCAAATGCATAGGGTTGTCGCATTTATTTTCTTAAACTTAGGCTAGAATAAGATGTTTTTAATTTAAACGTTTATTTATTTTATTTTGTCTTTTATTGTGTCGTTTTAAAGGTGCTTTCAAAACACGTAGGTCCATGAATGTGTTTTAAGACGAATGTAATGTTTTATGAAAGTTTAAATGAAATATTTCCGCATTCAATATTCTTGATATGTATATAATTACGACCTTAATAGAAAATTTTGGGTCGGTACAACTTCGTAAATGTCAGTAAGAGTCATCATGTTCTATGGTGTCCAGAATGCCTTGTGCCTTTAAGTTAATACACATCTTTATCGACCATACGTAGTTACTCTTTGTGAGTAACGGGTACTACAGTGTTACACTCCCATCTTTTCTGCTCTTTATCATCGTCATATCTCCTCTGGCGAATTTCTATGGTGACGAAGTTTGTTAACTCGAGGGAGAGTTTCTTGAGGTAGGAGAACCTTAAACTCTATTCACAACAACAAATAGAATTGAAAACCAAACTACTTAAGATTCTTCGGTTCCAAGAAACTCTCCCCTCAAGTTGTTTTTTCTACTTCACTTATTTGTTTCTGTATAATTCGATCATGGACTATATCTAACATTGAAAAACCTTAAAGTGATTATATATGCATTTAAAAAGTGTTACAGCAAAAAAAACGAAGAGACTCAATATTTTTTCATAACCATTACATCTTTTGGATCTGTATGCTTGCTACAAAATAAACACGATTATCCCATATTTTCAAACATTCAAACAAAATTTTCATTAAAAAATCGAACAAACTAATACAATATTAATCGAGATTAATCAATAGGAAGTTTCATTAGTTCATAAAGAAAAAATTTGGATGATCACATAATGAAGATGATGATTAAGGTCAAATTAATCGATTGATGAGAAGAAAACCATCACTCTTGACCCACAAAAAAATAAAGGGAAAGAAAGAGAGAGCATATGAAAAAATTGCTTTTAAAAGCAAAAATAATTGGTTTAAAGAGAATGATGGGAACATCTTTCCCTTAAAATCAGCATTAACTCTTGCAATATTTTTTTACCTAATCTTAATCTCTCTCATTTTGTATAATTAATTACAATTTACAATGAAAGATTGCTCCCAATCCCAAGAACAGGGCCACTTTTTCAAGCTTAAATGATTGCCCTTTTTGCTCATACTCCAAAAAATATTGCTTTGGGAAAAAATTGCCCTATGACACGTATTCGATCCACCTATTGCTAGTAGATATTATCCATTTTGACTCATTACATATCAGTCGTCTCTCACTATTTTAAAATGCGTCTACTAGAAAGCGGTTTTCAAACCCTTATAAGAAATAATTCGTTTCTCTCTCCAACTAATGTGGGATCTCACAATTTATCCCCTTTGGAGCCTCGCGTCTTCGCTGACACATCGTCCGGTGTCTGGCTCTAATACCATTTGTAACAGGTCAAGCTCAATGCTAGTAGATATTGTCCACTTTGGACTGTTACGTATCACCGTCAGCCTCATGGTTTTAAAACATATCTACTATAAATCGTTCCCCTCTCCAACCAATGTGGGATCTCACAATCCACTGTCTTTAGGGGCCTAGTGCCTCGTTGGCACACCACCCAATGTCTGGCTCTAATTTCATTTGTAATAGACCTAGCCCACCACTAGCAGATATTGTCCACTTCAGCCTATTGCGTATTATCGTCAGCCTAATGATTTTAAAACACGTCTACTATAGAGAAGGTCTAGCCCTACTTCAACTAGTGCCTCAAACCATTTAGTGACTATCTCTAATACCATCCGTAATAGCTCAATCTCACCGTGAGTAGATATTATCCACTTTATTAGTCATATAATAAGAATATTTTGTTTGATTCTTAATTTACATGATCTGAAAATATTTTGTAGTCCGATTTAGACAGGTAAGAATTCCAACACGATAAGATTATTTTGTGAGGTTTTTAGCATATTTGGTTTTGTTGTTTGTTTTAATATTTTAGGGTTTGAGTTAACATCGAACCCATAATTTTTAAATTTTAATTTGATGTGTTATTTACCGAACTATACTCAAAATGACTCGTAATTTTTGTCCACTTGTCCCTTTTTAGGGACAACAAATAATATATAGTTTTAGTACAAAAATAGATGGTAGAGATTAGTAAAATTTTAGTAGTCATTTAAAAGGTTTATATTATAGTTAAAAATACTTTGTACATAAAAGCAATCCCTCTTAAAGGTATTCATAAGCTCCAACCATACTTAATTTGATACATAAAGTGTTGACTTCCTAAAATTGCATTTAATTTCATTATTAAAAGCAAAATCCAATCTTTATTTATAATAATTAATTCCATCTCTCAAAAAGATATCCCTAGTTTAATATACGTGTAGAAGTCTCCCCTAGCAGACACATTTAAAAAATATTGAAGGGAAGGCGAAAAGAGAAAGCCCGAAAGTGACCTATTTATCAATGAGAACTATTTGGGCTAAGCGGCTAGTTTAGCCTTAGTATCTTTCTATCGTGAGGACTTGCATCAAGGAACATCAATCGTCATAATGATCAGGCCAAGCCAAAGCCGTAAGTATACAACTTTCAATCAATTTTTCTATTTTGATAGTAGAGACTATCAACGTGGTTTTGAAGTCGAGTCTTTCCAGCAATGAAGCCTAGGGACCAATATGATGATTGGTTTAGGTAGGGTGGCTGATTTACTACGAACACGTGAAGAAATGGAAATACCATACACTCCCCTTGCCTCGTACTACGGTATTCCATTCCTCGTATGTTACGAATCTAACTTAGACCGTGGTAATATGAATATTGAAATTACAATTTAAAAAATGAGATTAGAAAATAAAGAAATAGACCAACCCGATATTTTGGGTTGGCTGCATTGGTGACTTAACTATCTCAACCCTGTGAATTGCGTGAAAGTAGGATACTCCAAATTCGGGAGTCTAAGAGGTTTATAAAACGTTCTTGATGGAAAAAAATGTGAATGAAAGATCCCACTGAATTGAATTGGGTCCATGAATATAAGAAATAGTGAGAATTCTTGATCTCTCTCGATTCGAAAATCCAGGATTTGAATTGATGGTCGTTCATTAATTAAGTCCTCCTAAATTGCATTGATTTATACTAAAGATTTCATTTTAATTGGAATTTGGTTATTCACCATGTACGAGGATCCCCACTAAGCATCCATGGTTGAATGGTTAAAGCGCCCAACTCGTAATAAGCATTCATAACTCAACCCAACCATCTATTTTCAAGTTAGTTTCATTAGGTTACGAGGGTTACTTTTTATAATTATTTAAAAAATTCAAATATCAAACATTTATAAGTCATAATGCATCACTAACATCAGTTACAAACGTCAAATATTCTTAATTTTTACAATAATCTTAAAAGTATGGTAGAGTAAGGTTGAGTTGTAACTCTATTTTCGGGTTAACCCGACCAAAAAAATGTCAGTTTTTCAAAAATTAAACCCAATTCGAACCGAAAACAAATCTAACCCAAACTAATTTTAGTTGGATAGTCCAAGTTAGTCAACTTCTCGACAAATATTAACACCCTTTTTTAAATTTTGAAATTACATATTAAAAAAAAAGTGAAAAATTAAAAATACCATTTGTCAATTACGGTATCTTCACGTTTGCAAGTGTTTTTTATTCATAGGCTTTTGATATATTTTTATTTAATTTAAAATTCTAGGTAATAAAACTAAGCATTTTAAAAGAATAAAATGGGGTGGAAAAGTGAAACATAATAAATCTATTAGAATAATTTAATCTCTATATTTTAATGAATCCAAATATTAATTTTTTAATTTCTAAAAAAATATTAACTATTTAATTTTTAATAATTAAATATACTATTAGAATTTTTTGGGGTTATTTTCAGCTCAACTATTAAAATTTTAATTTTTTTTATTTGTATTTATTTTTCCACTTTTGAAAAAAAAAAAAAAAAAGAAA